TATCTGTGTATTCAAAATGGTTAGGATAGATATATAGCTACATTCTCTTAATTCAAGGAATAGAGGCATTTGTTCTAATAGTGTTTGTAAATAGGATATCTTGTCTGCATCTTGTACTACAAATAACCACTAAGAAGGCAGTATGCAGTGTGTTAATTATTGGAGCTGTCCTACCAATTCAATTTGAAACTGTCTCATTGCTATTTGTTTCTCAATAAAATTATGGAAAAAATAAAATGATTAAAAACCCTGCACATTCTCATCATTCTCTTTAAAACTCTGAGGGCTGGTGAGATAGCTCAGCAGACTAAACGCCTGCTTTGGCAAGTGTAGGGACCAGGGTTTGATCTGTGGCCCTGTATGCCATGCTGGCCCTGCCACTGGGGAGTGCTGAATCAGCAATTGAGTCCTGGTGTGGTGGTGCACGCCTGTAACCCCAGTGCTCGGGAGGCTGAGAACAGGAGGATCACTGCGAGTCTGAGTTGCATAGTGAGACTCTGTACCAAATACATAAACAGGGATGGGGGAAACTATGTAGCTTTAGGACAATTTGTGTTCTCTGTTCCTAGGAAGCTTTCATTATGAAGTCTGATACCTTGTCATTGCCTCTTTTTATTAGGAGAATTAATTTTATGTGTGACCCCTAATTTTCTGGCCTATTTGGAATTTCTCTAGTTCTTTTTTCAATCTCTTTAGGAATTTTTTTTAGTGTGTCTTAATTTTTTAAAAATTGAAAGAAGAATTAAATTTGGCTTCCAAAGTGGTCGTCTCTCTCCATTCTGTCCTCATGCCCTTTGGCTTGGGGCTCAGGCAGTTTCCATCTGATGCTGCACTGGTTATAGCCTTTATCCTCAAGGTCATTTCATGGTCCCAGATGGCTGCTGTGACCAAACTGTGTCCACATTCCAGCCGGAAGTAAAGAGAGTGAATGCAGGCCAGCCATGCTCCTCTCTTCCTAAAAGTACAGCTGTGATCCCTGCACTCTGGGAGGCTGAGGCAGGAGGATCCCGAGTTGGAGCCCTGCTTGGGGGGTTTAGTGACTGAATGAGATCCTACCTCAGTTTTGTGTTTTGACATGCAGAGGGACTGAGAACATGTATGGAATTTTAGTATCATACACAAAACAGACAAAACCAAACAAAAAGCAAAAAGTGCATATTGAGGCCTCTGTCATTCCTCCAGGGGACAAGGAGGAGCATAAAGGCCCTCCTTTCTTCTTAAAGACGTGTCCTCACATTTGCAGGTTCCACTAACACATTCCCTTCTTGTGAAAATTTACCAGCTGCCCCTGTTGAGATTCATGGAAGGCCAGGGGCCGTGATCTCTGTTGTGTTCCCAGCCCAGAGCCAAAAGCTACAGGGTAAAGGAAATGGATCCTGGGGGATAGTGACCTTCAGTAACCGTAAGCCTCCCAGTTAAAAACCCAACTTGGGGAGGTCTGTGAGGTAGACCTTAATTTGACTAGCTGGTGATATAATTTTCCCAAATTGAAATTGCTTCTCAAAATAAAAGACAAAATGACAGTTTAAATTGTGTGACAAAGACCAGCTCTGTTGTCCTGTCCCTCGACACGTCCTGTCCCTTGTAGCTTTGGGAGGGGGCCTGGCCATAGCTCAGTTCTTTAAGTGGCTGCTTCCACAAAGCTGTGAGCCTCAGGTTGCTGTAGTTCGACTCCCACAACACTCCAGTCAGACAAACCATGCCTGAGGGCATTCAGAGCAAAAAACAAAACAAAACAAAAAAAAACCCTTGTAGCTTTGGGAAGAACAGATGCTGTGGGTTATACTTCACAGCAGCAGTTCCCAGTGTGCACCAGGCCGGCAGCACCGAGCTTGTGGGGTGCAGCTTCTCAGTGCCTGCCTGGACCTCCTGGTGCTGCCCGGGCTCTGTGTTGGAGCAGATCCGGCACAGGGCTGACGCGTGCGGTGGCTGCTCAGGTGGATCTTGGGGCTGGATATCATCAACTGAGCGTGTACTTGTGAAAAACCCCTTTGATGGGCTCTAATGTTGTCATCAGCCATGTTTCAACATGTGCACTTACATATCCAAATACCAGGAATGCTAATGTTTAGAAATCCATATTTCTAATGAGGGCATCAAGAATTTTATTATTGCCCAGTGTTTTCCTTCATGGAAAATTACAGTTTTTATAAGCCTTAGGCAGAGCTGGAAGAATTTTAGAAAAAGTGGTTCTGCAATGCATATTAATGTGTTGAAAAATGACTGGGCTTTGTTTCTTGGGAAAAAGTACTTAGCATGCTGATGACAAATACCATTGTTCCCAGATTAATGGGAACGTTTCAATGGTTTGCCCTCACTTAAGACTTGGGAGGGCAGAGTGATTTAGGGAGCAGGCCATGCACAAGGAAAGGGGGCCACTTTTTTTTGTAAGGTTTAGTCTCTCCCCAGTTTACTTGTAGAAATGTCGGGAAGATGCCCCAATATGCAGATGTTGAACAGTTTTATTATCCATCTCTGTTGTTGGCTCCTTCTAAAAGGCACTGAAAATAGTGTGAGCTATTAGGAATTGAAGGCAAAGGAATGAATGGACTCATTCCCTTCCCCAAGTGGTGCTTATCTAAAGCATTTATTTCAGCTGTTAAAGCTTTACTGTCTATGTGTTTTGTCTGCATCAGTTCCTAGGGAGGCAAGCCCACCCCTTGAAGGTTGGTACATCTCCTCCTGCCCATAGGGCACTTAGCCAGGGTCAGGGTGATTACAATGGCCTTGACCCAAACCTCTCTGGGTCCTGAGCTACTTTTTTAATCCAGGAACATTTGGGACTCAAACTGCTCTTTCAGGATTGAGGTGTCCATAGTGACCCTTGTAGTTGTTGAAGGTATCACATAGGCTTGATACCTTGAGGCTCTTTGGAGATGCAAATATTGCTGGCAGTGACCTTTGTGTCCCTTTCTACCACTGCTTTTTTTGGGTCTGGGGACACTCCCCTCCCACGACCCAGCTTTGGTCCTGTCTGTGGACCTGTCCATTCTTAGAGATGAATCTGACCATTTTATGAACACTTTGCTGTCCTTATCTTTCTGGCCTCTGAGCCAACACTTACTGACATCTCCTCCCCTCCTCTACTCTTTTCTCTGTAGGCCCTTTTCTTCTCTGTTGTTTTCAACTAACTCTCATCTTTACTGTTGTCCTTGTTTTCTTACTATAGTGGAGAGAGAGAGGGAGACACCATGGTCGAGACCCTTCTATCCTCCAAGGAACCCCGTGTTCTGGAGGATGACTCAGTCCCCCTACAGCTGTTCCCCTCATAAACTATATTCCTGGCATAAAAAACTGATGGTAAGGTCCTGCAAGATAGCTCAGCGGACTGAGTGCCTGCTTAGGTAAGTGCAGGGACCAGGGTTTGATCCCTGGAACCGCATGCTGTGCTGGCACCACCCCCAGATACATTGAGCCTATGACCAAGACTGGGCATGGTGGCGCACACCTGTAATCCCAGTGCTGGGGAGACTGAAAACTGGAGGATCACTATGAGTCTGAGGTGCATAGTGAGACCCTGTTCCAAATATATAAAACAAAATATATCAACAAAAACTGATGTTGACAAATGTGCATCTGCAGGTGGCTGTGGGGCCACCAGGTCTTATTGATTTATTTCAAGTGCTTACTTCTAAGTATATGAAATTTCCTCCCAAAGCATCATGCCTCTCTCTCTCTGATACCTTCTTCTAAGAACAATAACTTCATTCTAGTTTCTATTATATTTTATAATAAAGTAGACAGGAGAAGGCAAAGCATCCGAAAACCTGCTATTGTTGGCAGAAGCTAGGGCCCCAGCGTGACGATCTGTCAGCGTACTGATGCGTGTCTCCTCGTCTACACAGGCTGGCTACATGTCCGGGATGCTGGTTCCTGTAGGAGTGGGGATAGCTGGGGCCTTGTTCATCTTGGGAGCGCTGTACAGCATTAAGGTTATGAATCGCCGAAGGAGAAATGGCTTCAAGAGACATAAAAGAAAGGTATGAACCAACAAGAGCAAAGCTGAATCAGTTTCAGAACACTCCTCACTTATCTGATTTGCTTAATAAGGCCCATGGGGTTGGATGGTGCGCAAACAGTACATACTGATCCCCAGAGCTTAGATAGATGCTGCAGCCCTTTCTTGGGTCTGTTTGTTACTGTGTCCTTTCAAGTGGGCCTGTTCCTCAGCCTGGTTCTGCAGGAGAATGAGTTTAATGCTTTTCTGTTTTCTTTTTCTAGCAGAGAGAATTCAACAGCATGCAAGATCGAGTAATGCTCTTAGCTGACAGCTCTGAAGATGAATTTTGAATTGGACTCTGGTTTCACTGGGATAGTCAATGATGTTATTATTTTATTCTGATTTTGAGGCAAACAACAACAATCGCAACAACGTCATGCCGCATTGCTGCTGTGAGGCCATCCGTCCTAGGATCTGCTGAGTGGTAGATTGTTCTTATTCTGAGCAGAAAAGGCATGCTGTAAAGTAAACGTAACACAGTGTTTGGTTCTGCTGTAGTGAATTTCCTGTCATCATGGGCTGTGATTTATACACACACAGCACACACGTCGTTTTGTAAAAGTAGAGGGATTAGGTAGAATAAACTTTTCCCTGGTTTGGATTACCTGAATTAACTGTAATGGTTGTTGCCACTGAGGCATGCTTGCCCTTGAAATAGAGATCTTAGCGAAGAGTAACTTCTCATAAGTGCGCTGTCCATACTTGAGACTGTGGGCTTGTGGGCTATGGCTCATCCTGCATTTGCATTAAAATTAACATCTACTTGGAATGAAATCTTTTTTGTCATGATCTCTTAGCACATTAGAATTATTACTTGTAGAGTTGTATGTATCTCACTATATAGTTCAGTCTCCTACTTTTATTATTTCACCTTGTGTTCTGTTCTCCATCCTGGCAAGAAGAGTGCCCCAGAAACCGTATGTTACATTGACTTCTAATGACATGCTTGCTTTCTTGAATACTATGAGTATGTCCATCAGGTCTGTCAGCAGGGTCTTGCATGTTTATTGCAAGAAATGTTCTTTCTGTGGACTGTGTGGTGTTGGCAAGAAGAAATGAGGACATGAAGAGCGTGTGGGCAGGCGGGGCTCCTGGAGCATCTCTCTAGCTCTGCTGTTGGGCTCTCGCTTATGTGACTGCTGTACAAGTGGTTTGGAATGCTGCTTTTCCGTGTCTGTGGTCTTGTCCGTGGGAGAAGTGAGCCAACACTGGTCCTTTTTTGGGCTGATTAGGAAAAAGCATGTTCTGTGGTAGAAGCAGGCTCAGTGGCCAGAGGTGTAGTGTACAGCGGAGCTCATAGAAAACCGGTCTTTCTCAAGGTGCCCACACTGGGGACAGGGACTGTGCTAGATCCTGGTATGCGATTCCCTGCCCTGTACCAAGTAGGGGAGTCAGGTATCCCATCTGAATCTGGGCATTTAGGATGACTTGTATTTAGTTGAGTTTTGGGATACAGGCTGGGCTCATTTCTGTGGAAAGTTAAATATCCTGGAGATGACTGTTACTGTGGAGAATTGTGGTGTTTGCCACTGGCTGTGTTAGTGGGTCGCACAGAGCTTCCTCATGACTGCAGGATGAGGTGGGACATGGGTTCTGTTGCCCATTTGACTGGAATCGGAACTGAAGCAGAGACAGGAAATGGTTATCCAAAGTTACGTCTAGAGAGAAGTTCAAAACCATGTACCAGACTTTACTTCAGTGCTTTATCCATGGGTCTTGAGGAAATAGTGATATTTTAGAGTTCTTTAAAATCACATTTCTAAAGAAGTAGCTGCTTGGTGAAGGAGCATTTGATAGGAGCTTCAGTCTTTGTTAAATGAGTGATGTTTCACAGATTTTTCTCTTACACAAAAACTTCCGTATCACCTGAGGGAACCAATCAAGAAAATGTCCTAGAACCTGTTCCTCTTTGGTGGCTGGATCACAAGAATGTTTTCTTTTCTTTTTTTCTGGCTGGCTCAGCCTGCCCTGAGGGTGCAGCATGTGGTGCTAGGATCAAACCATGGGCCCCTGTGCCTGCCTAAGCTTGCCTAAGCTGGCCTGAGCAGGCATTTTAGACCACGAACTATCTCGCTGGTCCACAAGAATGTTTTCAGTAAGTAACTTGAACTCTTTTTGCCTAGAGAAGAATGTAAGTATGTGAAATTGATAGAGAAGCGAACAGCTCTGTACAGGCAAATAAACTCAAGGTTGGATTTTAAACATGGAATTCCGAGCTGGACTCTCGTAAGTGATGTGTAATTTCACAACTAGAGATGCCCTCATATTATAGAGGAGATAATTCTGTTGTCTAAGAGCAGCCTTTTGCAGTAAGTGCTCCACAGGGGACCGGGGAGATGGCTCAGTGGAATAAATGCTTCCCTGGCAAATGCAAGGGACTGAGTTCAATCCCCGGTTCTGCAAAAAAAAAAAAAAAAAAAGATTCTGTAAGTAGTCCACAGGGTAAGAGGAAGTAAGGGTGAGCTGCCATTGCTGTGTGCATTCCTGTCACGCTTGTGTGGAGAATATATGATAAGTGCACTAATGCAGCAGAGTGAGAGGGATGCTGATGGCCGGGTGCCTGAGCAGCCTTCCTGTAGCCTTTGTAGGTCAGACTTAGTAGCTCACTCTGCACCCTTTAGCACGATGACGCCACAAAGGACAGCACATTTTCATTTCTCCAGGGGGTTATGGGCACAAAGCGCACATGGATTTAGGCTTGAGCAGGAATGTCCCTGCATCCCTTGGGGGGACTCATGGCTGTTTATAGGGAAAGAATGTACTTGCAGTAAATTTCTGTGCAAACCCACTTATATATCTGGATAAAGAAAATGAACTATGCACATAAAAGACTGTCATGCAGTCTTAGAAAATCTGGACATTGTGAGCCATAGGTGTGAAGACAGAGGAGGCTCAGCGCACAGCAATGATGCTGTAGGACTCCCGTGAGTGGCAGTATCTAATCACTAGAGTTACGCAAAGAGGCAAAAGTGCAGGTTACCAGGAACTGGTGTGTGTGTGTGTGTGTGTGTGTGTGTGTGTGCGTGTGCATGCGCATGCGCGCGTGTGTGTGTGTGTGTTGTGTGTGTGTGTGTTTGGGAGGAAGAAGTGGGAAGGAATCAATCAATTCATATAGTTACAATTTTGCAGGATGAAGTCGGGAAGTCTGCCATACAACATAGCACCTCAAGTTGACAGCATTGTATTGTGAGCTTAAAAAATTGCTGAGACCAGATTGCATGTGTTCTTATAAAGAAAGAAACAATGAAGGAAAACAAGGAAAAGAGAAATGGAGTGGAGCAGGACCCTTTCCCAAATCCCGCTGTCCAGTATGTCGCACCTGCCACATGGAGAAAGGGAGATGAATGAAGGCGGAGGGAACTGCTCTAGAAGAATGGGAGGCTGGGCTGGAGAGAAGGGTTTCTCCCATGCCCTGATGTCCTCTTCTATGATCAGAAGACCGTGTTTTCCTTTTAAGTCATTTTGAGCTTTTCTCTTGTGTGAGCTGCTGCTTTAAGAAGCTGCCGGCTTCATTTATATGCAGCATTTGGAGTTAATTAGGATCCCAAGGTAGCAGAGTCCCTTAGTAGTGCCTTAGCCTTGGCTTGAGTCCATCAACTGTCTCACCACAGTTTTCCAGAAATGCTTTCTTAAATTACTTGGACCTCTTATCTTGCTGAAAAACATTGTGAGGAAATGTTCAAAGCAGAGTGTCAGAATATATTGAAAGTAGTTGTAGCATAGTCAGTCAAAGCTGGCTCTCCGTTTCAGAATTTTATTTTATGTACTTTCTGTGGTGCTGGGGATGCATCGTAAGGTCTCATGCGCGCTAGGCAAGTGCTTGGACGCTGAGCTGCACCCTCAGCTTTCATTCCATTAGCTTTTTAAAGCTAAAATATAAAAGTCAAAATTTTATGAAGATGATAATTATGCAGAGCAATGCAAAGCTTCCTAAATGCCTAGGGCTGGCTTCTCTCTGCTCCTTCAGGTGTGTCCTTCCCAAGCAAGCCCAGGCGAAACGCCATACCTGGAACCGCATCCATAACTCAGGGGAGAGGAGGCCAGGCATTGTGGTTGCTGTGCATGTGAATAACCAGAGTTCCTTCCAGCTGCCAAAAAGCAGCAGTGAAAAACAAGATTTACTATTGGGTGTGAGTTTATAGCCATGTGGCCTTTGGAAAGATAGGCTTTGATATGAGCGTAGAGAGATCTGAAAAGGCAGGATTACTACTGAAGAAAACAAGCTTCCTCTTTAGGTTCTGTGGAGGCCAGGTGATAGGGAAAGAAATATGGGTAGAGGAAGATGGAAAAACAAGGGTAATACAGGGCCTGAGGAAAAATGGCACAAAACCTGAGAACAGCGGTAATGTGTCTTTTAGAGTGTTCAGTGGTGATGAATAGGCCTGATGCTGCGTGCATGCCAGAGGTTCGTTGCCACTGCCTTAGAACGCGCTACAGGAGGGCCAAGTTCTTTTTTTTTTTTTTTTTATGTATTTAGTACAGGATCTACAGGGTCTCACTATGTAGATTGGACTCACAGTGATTCTCCTATTTTCAGCCTCCCAAGCTGGGATTACAGGCAGGTGCCACTGTGCCCAGTCTCAGTCAGCGCACCCCGGGGGCGGGGCCAGCACGGCAGGCAGGGCTCGAACCCCGGCCGCTGCTCTCTGCCTAAGCAGGTGCTTTAAGCCGCTGAGCTATCTTGTCAGCCCTCAGGATGGCAAGTTCTGAGTGGAGTGATACTTAGCAAAGTTACAAGGATAAGAAAGAGGAGAGCGCAACGTATGAGATCATTAGCGAGTGAAAGGGCCATAAAGCCACAACAATCTGTTTTGCTTCCAGCTTTTCCACCCAAGAAATTTACCCTGCAATAGGTGGAATGAATACACATAGTTGGCAAGGAATTGAAGCCCAGGATGAATGAGGAGATGAAAGGTGCTTGCTTACTTTAAATATGCTGAAGCAAAATTAAGCATCTTCCTTAATTACACAGACTTCAAATGACTGAATATAAACTTCTAGGAACAGGAAATAATTTGAAGACGAAAATAATGGAATTGGCTCAATAAAAGTCTCGTATTTGTGCATTCAGTGCCTTCTCTGGGGAGTTACTAGGTTTATAAACTGGAGATGGACTAAGAAGAGACATCTAATTATGTTAACTCTGCTAATTATAAACCCTGGCAATCAAGATGCCTGGAAACATAATTCTATCACTTAATTTCTATATGCAGAGCAAAAAGCATTTATTTTGTAACCACTGTGATAGAAATGCATTGGTACTGTCTTTTTGGTAGTAACAAGTATGTTTAATTCCCCATTAATTACCACAAGTTTCTATTAGGTGCATATAAGATACTGAGAAACACAAAAGAAGGGAGGAGGAGAGAAGTTTCTTCTAGGAAACAGCGACAAAATGTACAAAGCCCCAAATATCCTTGCTTTCTTTTTATGTAAGAGATAAAGGAGGGAAAATTAAAAATAGTCTTGTAATTGAACTAATACAATTCCAGTGCTCTGGGACTAGGGGGTAGCTCCATGGCAGTGTGCTTGCCTAGCATGCATTAGGTCTGACTTGGGTGACAAGTGACATAAAAAGTCCACCACCATCACCACCACCACCACTGAGAGGTCCACGGCAGGGCATTTGAGGCTGGTGGAGATTCTGGCTGGTAAGCCTCAAGCACTTAAACATATT